GGGCAAAGGAAATGAACAGGCACTTTTCAAAGGAAGACATTTATGAGGCCAACAAACATATGAAAAATGTTCATCATCACTGGTCATTAGAGAAACACAAATCAAAACCACATTGAGATACCATCTCATGCCATTCAGAAAGGCAATCATTAAAAAATCTGGAGACAACAGATGCTGGAGAGGATGTGGAAAAAGAGGAATGTTTTTACACTGTTGGTGGGAGTGTAAATTAGTTCAGCCGTTATGGAAGACAGCGTGTTGATTCCTCAAGGACCTAGCAATAGAAATTCCATTTGACCCAGCAATCCCATTACTGGGTATCTATCCAAAGTATTATAAATTGTTCTATTATAAAGACACATGCATATGTGTGTTCATTGCAGCACTGTTTACAATAGCAAAGACCTGGAACCAACCCAAATGCCTGTTGGTGATAGACTGGACAAGGAAACTGTGGCACATATACTCCATGGAATACTATGCAGCCATAAAAATGATGAGTTCGTGTCCTTTGTAGGGACATGGATGAACCTGGAAACCATCATTCTCAGCAAACTGACACAAGAACAGAAAATCAAACACCACATGTTCTCACTCATAGGTAGGTATTGAACAATGAGAACACATGGGCACAGGGAGGGGAGCAGCACACACTGGGGTCTGTTGGGGGGAATAGGGGAGGGACAGCGGGAGGGTATGGAGGTGGGGGAAGGATAACATGGGGAGAAATGCCAGATTTAGGTGACAGGGAGATGGAGCCAGCAAACCATATTGCCCTGTAGGTACCTATGCAACAATCCTGCTTGTTCTGCCCATGTACTACAGAATCTAACGTGCAATATATATATATGAAATACACATCACTATGTGTGCATGGGAATGTCATCTCATTTCAAGAAGACTAAAATATTCCAATGATGTGCTTTAGTGCCATTATTTCTTGAATTTCTTTTTTCTGTTCCTGTTTACATCCTCACCATCACTGATTCAGGTCCCCTTCACCTAGGTGAAAAAATAAATAAGATGGGAAGAGTAGCAAAACAGGTGACATAAACGTAAGATCTACTGAGGAACAGTGTTGGAAAAGTATCTTCCATACGTCTTCAAAATCTCCTTTTACAGAAAGGGAAACTGAGGCTATGAGTTGGAATATAACCCACCCAAGGTCACCAGTGAACTAATAGCAGAGATAGGATTTAAACTCCAAATTTCTAGGTATCTACTTCAGTACACCATACAGCTTGACTAATATCTCTTAGGATGTTTAGAAACTGCATCATGTGCTATTCTTTTTATAGGAAAAAAAAAATTATACCGAAAGAATCCAGCACACCATAGAAGGATATCAACAATAGGTGTAGGTTACAATGAGCTAGGCACTCTCTCCTCATATTATCCCTCTGATCACTTTACTGGTCAGTGGCATCAATTCATCTGCCCATTCAGTTAGTTTTTATGGTAAGTAGGCATTTATTGAATACCAAATTAATAAAGGCCCTTTGCTGGGCATTGTTGCCTACAATTCAGTAATGAGTTGTAGCAAGGGCACACAGCAAGCCAGATGAGATATAACTAAGTATAAATACAATAAAAATGTATTCATTTTTATGGGTGCTGTAACAAATTACCAACACATTACTGACTTAAAATTATGCAAATTTATTATCTCCCAGTTCTGGGGTCAGAAGTTCAGTATTAGTTTTATAGGGCTAAAAATCAAGATGTTGGCAGGACTGTTCCTTCTTGAGGCTCTTGGGGAGAATTCATTCCTTCCCTCTTCCAGCTTCTGGGGGCAGTTTACATTCTTTGGCTTCTGGCCTTATCAGTCCAATCTTCAAGATCAGTATCTTTAAATTTCTTTCTGCACCATCTTCCCATCACCCTTTCTGCCATATGTATAGAATCTCCATCTCTCTCTTGTAAGGATACATCTGAATACCTTTAGGGCCCATTAATCCAGGATAATCTCCTCATCTAAAAATCCTAAATGCAATCACATCTGCAAAGTCCCTTTGCCATGTACAGTAATATATTCACATGTCCCAGGAATCAGGACACACACATCTTTGGGGAGATATTATTCAGTCTACTGCAAAAGGTATAAAAGCTTAAAAGGGAAAAGTGGAAGACACAGGTACAGATCTGGGAGGCAACTGGCTGAATGAGAGTGGGAACTGGGGCTAGGGTTTTTCTCTTAATAACACCAACTGGCCCATATGGAGTTCAGAAACAAGACCAAGATCTATTCAGTATTGTCCTCAACAGCTCATTAGTAATACTAGCCAATTATACTGTACATAGCTGGGGAAGTTGATACCCAGTGAACTGTCAAGTTTTAGTCAGGCTTCAGTGAAAGGTTTGAGGATACAGGTTGTATGCATTGCTTGACTTTTGATAGGAAAAATGTGTAGTGGAAATTTGATTGCCAAATGTTAGTCCACATTTTTATGGCTATCATGAGACAATGAGAAGTGGAAGATGCTAGGTGGGATGCTTCTTATTTGCTTTCTCTCCATTGATTGATAAGAGTTCCTTGAGAGTAAGTGTGGGCCTTTTCCATCTGTATGTCATGGGAACTAGCCAGGTTGTTTCCTAGCACAGGTGTCCAGTGAATATTTGTTTACCTCTTGAATGGCTTTCTTTTCTTGGGAAGCTTGTAATGCAAGGGTATTCCTTATGGTGATGACATTTTAGGAGGCAAGCAGCTAGATGAGGTAAATTCCCATGATCAAGGTTTCTGGGATTATGTTTCCACACAGGCAGAAGCTAGAAAGGTCTATCTTAGAAAGGTTTAATCCCCCTACATCCATTATTGTCCCTTTCCCCACTACAGAGGCTGTTAACCAGCACAGAGAGTATTATTATTGTTGTTGTCATTGTTATGATAAAGAGGGATAATTATAGCAATCAAAATATGCATTCTTGTCTATATTGTCAACAGTGTCCCTATCTCTACATATAGTGCATAGGAAGAACTGGCCCTTGTTTTGAAAGTCTCTAATCTGAGCTCATCAGGATAGGCCTTGTGCAAAGTAAAGGAGCCTGCTTCTAAAGCAGGAGGCCAGGTCTTTTTCGTTGAGTATGGTTAACCATTGGCGATCTGGTTCTGCCTGCAGCAAGGGTAATGGGTCAATGATTTTCATAGGGCATCTGGGACTATTTTTATTTCATTTGGGGAGGGAAAGTGAAACAAATATTTACACAGCCCTTGTTATGGGCCATACATATATCATCCCATTGAATCCTTTCTGAAATACTTTTCTTCTTGTGGCGATTTGACAGGAATACTGAGTCTCCAAGGTGACAAAGTGACCTGCTCAAGGTTTTCCTTCCAGTTTTGAGTTGGTTCTGTCCTCTAAAGCCTCCTGACAACTATTGCATACCCTGGAAGGATGACTAGGAGCAGAAGAAGGCAATGAGAGGTGGAAAAAGAGAAGGTGGAATGAGATGTGAGGGAAGCCCCAAGTCAGATTTCTGCATGAGGCTGACCAGGCTATCCTAGAAGCCAGGCGGTAGCCTAGCTGGCTTGTCAGTTGCAACTTTACAGAATAAACTTGTTCGGGTCCATTCATTTGTCAGGAATGGTTGCTTTTCCGTCTTCAGGTTGGATTTCGAGGGTCTTTTCAGGGGACTGCTGCCTCTTACAGCTGCCTCCATTGTACACTGATATTTTTAAAGAGTGCTGAAGTGATTTGTGTGGCTTTTTTTTTTTTTCCTGGCATGTTTTACAAATTTATTAGCATAATGGCCAGGTTGATTAGCCTAATTTGTCTATTTCAAAACAGTTGTGTGTGTCCATTAAGCCTTCCTGGAAAATTCTCACCTCAGTCCTTTCCTCTTCAGGAACAGGGGTCAAATGCAGGGTTTATCGCTCAGAAAGCATACCCTGAAGGAGGCAGAGGTTCTTGGTCCTAGTACACACCTGGCAAGAGAGGAGAGAAAGTACCATTCAAATTTCCCTGACCACCTCACCTCAGCTGGGTCTTTCCTCAAGGGTCCCAAGCTAGTTGCTTGGAAGCATTTGATTATCGTGCTAATTAAAAGGGCGGGGAGGGGTGGTTAAAAATTCACACTGTGGCCGGGCGCGGTGGCTCACGCCTGTAATCCCAGCACTTTGGGAGGCAGAGGCGGGTGGATCACAAGGTCAAGAGATCGAGACCATCCTGGTCAA